GTAAACGGTGAAAGTTGTCGTGAGAATATGACAGACTTCTGGTTTAATTAGTTAGATTCAAGTCTGGTCCTGCTTTTGAAGCCAGTAGAGTTGTGCTGGTGATGAATGTGATGGGTCTTTGTTTCATAGAATTACTAAATGGCCCAACACCCATTTCTGACTCTTACCTCTTCCAGTCTCCTGTATGATCAGGAATGCATTAAATTGCTTAACGGAGGTGGAGGAGCTAGTTACAGTGCTCTTGCTATAATGTGGTCATACCACTGCGCTCCTACTGTAAATGGGGAAAAGTTTTCCCCTAACCGGGTTAAAATGCAGGACCGTCTATGGCTTAACCATGGATATGTGATTGGGATGATGCACTGCTAGCAGTGTAATTGGAGTTTTTGGGTAGCACCGTCTGGGATACTTCACTTTTCCTTACTGACCTGAATTCTGCTAGTGAGCTAGGTTTTGTGTGTATGTACTTCCAGCTTGAGAACATCCTTCTTTCCTGCAGTATGCAGGAATATGGGGGTTCGGAGGAGTGGGAGAGAACGAAAACTGACCCTAAGCAAAACCTATTTAAAAAAGATAGGATTTGGTGTGTGTCTGTCATCTCTTGCAAGTCCTAGTGTGAAAGGCAGGTAGTGGAGGAGTAAGATTTGGAAACGTTTGATCTGAAAACAGCTTGCTAAATTGGGAAGTGACAATCGCAACTTGGGAAAACTCTGCATAAGAGATAAGCCCTTGAAAAAGGCAGGTTTACATAAAATGTGGAATTTTTACCTTTAACAGATCCTTGCAGAGTTTTAATAAAGGTGTAAGATACTATTAACAGTATGTGCTTGTTTATAATTAGTACCCGTATGGATTTTCTGTTTTACAAGCATTAGGTCAAATTCAAGCCTAGTTCCATGGCCCGAGATGCTCACTGTGTTGGTTTGTCAGGACAGCGATATGGTAATGTCTGCTGAATGCTTGTGAATGACTCGGTTGCATGCTTGTAAGCCAGACCTTGCTGTTTATATAGTGTTTTTTAACAGCAGATTTCCATGCGCTTCACAAAAGGAGGTGAATATCAGTTCCAGAGGTGGGAGAACCAAGGTGTAGGGAGCGGCTGCCATCCAGCAGGTAAATGGTGGAGGCTGGAGTAAAACCCAGGTTTTCTGAGACCCAGGTTGGTGCAACACAGAGGCCTTACTTAACCAACGGAGTGCTGTAGAGCTGAGGGTGTGAAATACGCAGCTTTGTGGATTTAAATTAGGACAAGGCTTATAAAAGCACCGGGGCATGGTCCCTGTGCTGTGGCTGAGGACATGATTGAGCACATTGTGTGCACTTGGCGGAGATGAATTACTGTGGCTTGAATGCGAACAGTGCCGTTGAGCTCAGCTCATCCCAGCACATAAGAATATGGTTTTAATCAATAGAAAAGCCTTGTCGGCAAACAGAAAGCTTCAGCCAAGGAAAATATTGAAAGATCTGTCTTCTCTTTGTGATGAAAGCCCCAGCCTGGCTTGTATGGCTCCCAAACCAGAAAATATTAGCTGTGGGTATGTGTCCAGTTTTACCCTAACCTCAAACCATTCACTTGGTGGGGTACAAATGTAAAATAATAATAATTTGAGCATTTTTTTTTCTTCCAAACTCCTGAGAAATATTTGGTTCTGTGTGGGAAGAGGAATGCCTCAACGCGGAAGATGGCTGGGTCGTGCTGCTGTTAAATGTGCTGCTTGCTCTTTGTAAAATTGGATAACCCTTCTCACTCCCAGTGCTAAATTGCACCCCATTTTCTTCACAGCTGTGAGAAGGCTGATTTCCAAGAAGGGGCTGGGATATGATGCTGGAGGGGGTGGCCTGGTAAGCACCAAGTGTTAAGTAATTAGACTCTGTGGAACCAGAGATTCATATTCTGGCAGGGTCACTTCAATAATTTGTCCTTCTGCGTACCGGGACGTCAGGGTAGGCGTTACTTACCCTGCCTGACTCTTTAGATTGAGACTTTTTTGTTCTTTCTCACTTTTCTTTAAGTCTGAGATGTGTAGGCACGGTGGGCTGAGTCTTAGATCTGTAACTTAAGCAAATAGGTGTGAGAATCAGCTCTTTCCAAGGGTGTTGCCGATGGTGACTGTAAAGATTTGTAAAAGCCAGTTTGTAAGAGAGTCTGACTTTGCTCTGGTGACCTTCTTCCTCCCTCCCTGCCCTGCACAGTGTTGGGATTGGTTGTCAGCTTCCACCTCCAACCCCAGAGGAGGTTGCATGTAGTGCTGGTGTTTGCATATAGCATGTGATGCACTTTGGAATCCTTAGGGATGAAAAGAGCTATAGAAATGTAAAATACAATGTAATGTGGGCACTTAACTAATTTTAAAAAATGAATGCTTACTCACTCTCACATGGGATTTATGCAAGTAAATTTGAGGCTTTAATTGTGCCGTGTGTGTGTGTGTGTGTGTGTGTGTGTATGTATATGTATGTATATATGTGTATTTCTTGGTTAGAAAGTTTGTATCAGTGTTAGGGTGGGCTTTGATTCTCCATCAGCATCTCCAGAGGTGGAGCCTTAAGCTTGTACAGGTGCACAGGGTTTATCTGTAAGGATCCAGAATGGGGCCTAAGGCTGTAGGAATCTTAAAACCAGGCCCACGAATAGAACTTTTGATTTAAAAAAAAACAAACCTAACAGCAGTGCAATGAACAGCAATTAATATTGCACAAGACTGTTACAGGTCAGGTGGCTTTGAAGCTGAAAGATCCTATGTATGTTTTAAATGTTTTGTTGAAACCTTATGTTTCAGGCTTTGAGGCAATTAAAACAAAATAAGGATCACACTTTGTGAGGAAGGCAGATAGACTACAATGGGGTTGTTAAATGTTTCTTTTAGCATCTCTTGCTGGTCAGTGACAGAGAGGATACCAGACTGTACAGACTTTGGCTCTGATCCAGTCTGGGGATGCTTTGTTCCTAAATAAATACGAGGATGAAGCCTGCCATGAGAATCTAGTGTAGATGTACTTTATATAAGCTGCTCGTTGTATTTCTGTGGCTTGTATCACTGCAATGCAGAAGCATCACATAACCCTAACTTTTTCAGTGGTGTGGCTGAGAATTGCCCTGTGCCTAAGGAATCTAGCACTGGGCACAGGGCAGCTGCAGTGCTGTGAATCCCTAATCCCTCAGTGACTGAGACCCCAGTGCAAATGCACTGCGGTCCAAATTTCCCCTCGCACTGGATCCCCCAGGGCGGAGTTCGTAGGAACGTCCGGCTGGAAGGGACCTCACAAGATCATCTAGTCCAGCCCCCTGCTCCAGACAGGATCTTCCCTGACTAAACTATCCTGGCCAAGTGTCTGTCTAACATGAAGACAAGGTTCTTTGGGTAAATGTGGTATCTTTTGTTAGACCAACTAAATAGTTGTTAGGAGCTGGAACGGACATTTACAGAGCATTGGGGCCAACCCCTTTGCACTTGGGCAGGGAAGGCTGCTGGGATCAGATGACCCCAGCAAGGTGGGCGTTGGAAAAATTGTTCTTTGCAGCCGTACTGGATTATGACATGCTGAGGCCCTAAAATATGCCCAGTTTAAGAGGCCCCATACGATAAAAGTAATCCATGAAAATGGATTTCCATGACCTTTTAAGATGAATTGTTATTTCTGCACAAATTTATGAACTTAATATGAATAACGACTGTGGAGCCATATATATATTTGTCCTATTACAATGAAAATGTCCATTTGTTTTTCTTATTTAGAGGCCCTAAACTGTAGCTTGAGTAGTTTCAACCTAAACCCGGCACTGCTTTGCAAGCTTCAGGCACAGACACCCTTCTTCAGGCCTAGGGAGAGCGTGCCGGTGTTTTGTGTTCTCCTAATGCGCATGACCGTCCACGTTGTTGAGTCAGATGTCATGCCTAAGACTACAGGTGAGGAGGCTGTAGCCATGTCGGTCAAAGGACAGGGGCAGATGAGGTTCTTTGGGTGAATCCGGTATTTTTTCATTGGACCAACTTAAATAATTGTAAAACATTTACTTAGCAAGCTTTTGGGTTGAAAAACTGTCCTGCAGTTGGCCTCTGCAGTTGGCGTGCCACGGTGATGTTTCTTCAGCTTGGCAAATGGTTTTTAGATCCGAAAGCTTGCTAAGGAGAATTTTTCCAACTGTTTGAGCTGGTCTAATGAATAGATATCCCATTTATCCAAAGCACCATGTCTGCTTACGTCTGTGACCTAATAATTTGAGCTGGTCTAGTCAAAGATATCCCATTTATCCAAAGCACGTTGTCTGCCTATGTCTAAGGTAGGGCGGCCGCCATAGAGGACAGTCCAGTTATCCTCTATTGATACGAAACCGGGTGCCTTTGATGTCCTCTCTTTTTCTCTCGAAGAGAAAAACGTGCTCTCTTTCTTCAAGAGAAAACCAGAAGACACAATGGCGCTGGGGTTCGTACAGACAGAGGACAATGGGAACACCCTGTATGACGGCCGCCCTATCTTGGACATAGGCAGAAGGTGGTTTGGATAAATGGGATCTTTGATTAGATCTGCTCAGATTATTAGTCGTAGACATGGGCACGTATTTGTTTTCCTTTTATTTAAAGGCATCCGGTCTCATATGGACAGAGGACAACGACGAGCCCTCCACGACAGCTACCCCAGGTGTGGCAGGGTCTCTCTCTCCTGCACCCCCAACGTGCTCCCCAATGGCAGAAATCAACATAGGAGGGGGTGGGGGGAGAAGGATGGGCGTGCGCATGCGCAGCGGCCGGAGGAAGCGAGCCGTGTGGAAAAACAAGCCGCGCTCGCCGCACGCATGTATTCCCCCCTGCCCCCGTGTGCGCATGTGCGGGGAGCCCAGGCAGCGTTGGGAGCGGGCCTCCTTCCCCCCGTGTGCGCATGAGCGGGGAGCGGGCCTCGCTCTCGTCTCTCCCCCCCCGGTTGTGCGCATGCGCGGGCCGGTCCGCGAGCGCGGCGAGGCCAGCAGCCGCCTCAGAGCGGGCGGGCGGGCGGAGGAGGCGGACGAGGGGCGCTGTGTTGCCGCTGCCGGGGAGCCGCCGGCCGGAGCAGAGGAGAGGCGAGGGGGGAGGGGAGGGGAGCCGCAGCCCGGAGCAGGGCCCAAGGCATGGTGCCCGCCGCCACCGCGGGGGGAGGCAGCTCCTGGCGCTAGGGCACCGTCCGGGGCACGCAGCATGGTCCGGGAAACCAGGCACCTCTGGGTGGGCAACTTACCGGAGAATGTGCGCGAGGAGAAGATCATCGAGCACTTCAAGCGGTGAGTGAGGGCGGGGGGGCCCCGTCGCCGTCCCGCAGACCGGAGCGCACCTCTGCCCGCGGGCCCGGCCGTCCTCGCTGCGGATCATCCCGTCTCTCTCTCGTGTCTCTCGTCCTTGTGCCGAGCTATGTGTTTATCTCGGCGCGTCTCGCAAGGAAGGAGGTTGTGGTGGGGCTGGCTGTGGAGCAGAGAGAGGGGCAGAAAAAAACCAGGCTGGAAGGAAACCGCTTGGTTTGGCATCCCCTGCCTTGAGAAACACGCCATTTGGGACCTATCCTGCTGGACTCTGCGCTGGGGGAGAGAGATCCTTGCTTTTTTAATTTTTTGTCTTTAAAAAAAAAAACACCTGCTCTCCTCCGCACCTGTCTTCTGCATGGTTTTAGTTCCCCTGCTGCCTTCCTGATTTTTTTTTTTTTTTTAAATATTTTTTCCTTTTTGAATTATCTGAGGAGATGAAACCGGGTGAGAGATTCAATGCTGCTCTTTTTTTTTTTTTTTTTTAAACATTTTTTATTTTTTGGGAACCGAGGCTGACAAACATTGGGAATGTGTCAGGAAGCACGAAATAAAAGTTCGAAGGGAGCGTTTTTAAACTGCCAGGATTGCCTCTTGCGCTCGGACTCCGCTGGTGGGGTTTGAAAGCTTCCTTTTGAATCTTTCTGCCGTGCACGAAAATGACGGAGCATCCTTAATAATGAGTCATTATGGGAAAAAAAAAATTAGACTCAGTTACTAAGACATGAGGACCTTGGACTAGGAAATGGAAGAAGGAGCAGTAGAGCTGCCTTGTGGCTTTTATAAATGGAGGATCATTGATTATTTTGGTGGTTGCTTGTTCTAAAGAGATTCAGTCTTCATCTTGGAAAGGAGCCTGCCTGCTCATAATCAGGGGGTTGCGCATAGGAAGCTCATTTGCACCCGTTTAAGCTAGGCAGAGTGGGGTGAAGCCCCACTGTAAGGGGCCTCTCGTTATTTCACATCAGTCATGAGTAAGGCAAGGGAAAAAGGAGAAGCTAGGCAGAGTGGGGTGAAGCCCCACTGGTAAAGGGCCTCTTGTTATTTCACATCCGTGGCTGATAAGGCAAGGGTACGTGACTTGAACCCAGGCTCACACACGGGGTTGTTGAGGTTGAGCAGCGGGGACTAAAGAAAGGGTCTGGTCCTACCCTTCACTCATTTGCAAGAGAGGGAGCGCATTTGAATGCCTTTGCCTGGAGTAGATGCAGGCAAAATGCAAAAGTGCAGACAAGCATAGCGTCCTCCGTCCCCTACTGGGTGTCTGCACCTTGTCATTGCAATGGGCTTCAGGGGCTGGGAAATTCACATGCACAAATGTGCAGACACGTGCATTGCAGCATTTGCGGCTGGGTGACATGCAGCCGGGCTTGTCCCTGGGCAGCTCTGTGGATCCGAGAGACGTTTGCCTGCTTTTCTGTGGGGCCCTCTTATACTCCCGAGGCTGGGGGAGGGAAGGAGGAGGAAGCATTCAAGGAGAGATTTCTATTTCAAGTGGTGGATGGGTGCAGCGGTCTGGCTTGTGTGAATGACTTTCTAAAATGGCGGCTAGGACCCAGTTTGTGGGAAAGCAGAGCAGATCTGCCTGCACAGAGGGAGGTGGGGAAAGGAGGCGGCTTGGCAAAGGCAGGCAGCGGCAGGAGCTGCGTAGCAGGAGTTCTCCAGGCTCCCAAATCCCAACTGCGGGGAGTTAAAGGCGTGCTCCGAAATGTGGAAAGAAAGCACGTCAAGAAACCTGGAGTAGTGAGCGTACGCAGAAAGGCACAGCCGCTTTAGATCCTTTTTTTTTTGTTCGTCTGGAATAAGCACTTGCCTATTCTGAAGACTAAATTTAGTGGGGTTTTTTTGTTTTCTTTTAAGTCTGTAAGCCTTCATATTACTTAATCAAGGTCTCCAGCATCTGAACGGTCTA